CAAGAGAACCAGTTCCATTGTCAGCCATACATGCCCACGCCATGACACTACCACCACCATGCTTCACTGATGAGGTGGTATGCTTTGGATCATGAGCAGTTCCTTTCCTTCTCCATACTCTTCTCTTCCCATCACTCTGGTACAAGTTGATCTTGGTCTCATCTGTCCATAGGATGTTGCTCCAGAACTGTGAAGGCTTTTTTAGATGTTGTTTGGCAAACTCTAATCTGGCCTTCCTGTCTTTGAGGCTCACCAATGGTTTACATCTTGTGGTGAACCCTCTGTATTCACTCTGGTGAAGTCTTCTCTTGATTGTTGACTTTGACACACATACACCTACCTCCTGGAGAGTGTTCTTGATCTGGCCAACTCTTGTGAAGGGTGTTTTCTTCACCAGGGAAAGAATTCTTCGGTTCTTCCACCACAGTTGTTTTCCGTGGTCTTCCGGGTCTTTTGGTGTTGCTGATCTCACCGGTGCGTTCTTTCTTTTTAAGGATGTTCCAAACAGTTGATTTGGCCACACCTAATGTTTTTGCTATCTCTCTGATGGGTTTGTTTTGTATTTTCAGCCTTATGATGGATTGCTTCACTGATAGTGACAGCTCTTTGGATCTCATATTTCAAGCACACTTGAAATGAACACTGGACATTTTATCTGCTCCTTGTAAATGGGATAATGAGGGAATAACACACACCTGGCCATGGAACAGCTGAGCAGCCAATTGTCCCATTACTTTTGGTCCCTTGAAAAGTGGGAGGCACATATACAAACTGTTGTAATTCCTACACCGTTCACCTGATTTGGATGTAAATATCATCAAAATAAAGCTGAAAGTCTGCAGTTAAATCACATCTTGTTCATTTCAATTCAAATCTATTGTGGTGGTGTATAGAGCCAAAAAGATTAGAATTGTTTTGATGTCCCAATATTTATGGACCTGACTGTATATTTCCAAATGTACCGAATAGAATCCCCACATTCAACGTATCCTCAGACAGCTTAGATCTGAGCGCTCAATATAACCGAATAGCGCTAAGATCCCATACACATAGTTCAATCGCCATGGAGCTAAATTATTGTACAGGGTGCTTTTGACGAAACGAATGAGCTCCATGGGATGGCTATCTGGGGCAGTTATGTTCATACATTGTCACTTTACCGAACGGTACAGCGTTCGTATGAACCTTGGACAGAACGATGAAGGGTCGGTGATTTCAGCGGTGTTTGTGGGAAGCAGAGTTCGAAATTAGTTCCATGAGTTTGTCAACGAACACTGCTGGGCGTTCGACTGTCCAAGATGGCCGCCGCCACATGTTCATACATACGAACGACCACCCAGCCGACCGTTCGGGAGTTGGAAGTGTCTGTGGTAAGGTATGTCTTTTTGCTGATGATACTAAGATATGTAACAGGGTTGATGTTCCAGGAGGGATAAGCCAAATGACAAATGATTTAGGTAAACTAGAAAAATGGTCAGAATTGTGGCAACCGACATTTAATGTGGATAAGTGCAAGATAATGCATCTTGGACGTAAAAACCCAAGGGCGGAGTACAGAATATTTGATAGAGTCCTAACCTCAACATATGAGGAAAGGGATTTAGGGGTGATTATTTCTGATGACTTAAAGGTAGGCAGACAATGTAATAGAGCAGCAGGAAATGCTAGCAGAATGCTTGGTTGTATAGGGAGAGGTAATAGCAGTAGAAAGAGGGAAGTGCTCATGCCATTGTACAGAACACTGGTGAGACCACACTTGGAGTATTGTACACAGTACCGGAGACCGTATCTTCAGAAGGATATTGATACCTTAGAGAGGGTTCAGAGAAGGGCTACTAAACTGGTTCATGGATTGCGGGATAAAACTTACCAGGAAAGGTTAAAGGATCTTAACATGTATAGCTTGGAGGAAAGATGAGACAGGGGGGATATGATAGAAACATTTAAATATATAAAAGGGAATCAACACAGTAAAGGAGGAGACTATATTTAAAAGAAGAAAAACTACCACAACAAGAGGACATAGTCTTAAATTAGAGGGACAAAGGTTTAAAAATAACATCAGGAAGTATTACTTTACTGAGAGGGTAGTGGATGCATGGAATAGCCTTCCAGCTGAAGCGGTAGAGGTTAACACAGTAAAGGAGTTTAAGCATGCATGGGATAGGCATAAGGCTATCCTAACTATAAGATAAGGCTAGGGACTAATGAAAGTTTTTAGAAAATTGGGCAGACTAGATGGACCGAATGGTTCTTATCTGCCGTCACATTCTATGTTTCTATGTTTCTATGTTTCTATGTGGTTAACCACAATGTTAATGAGGGCAGAAAGGTTAACGAGCAGCACACTTCCCTGCTGGGTGGCCTGCCATTCGGTAGTTCATTCGTATTTAGGGGAATGAAAGCAGAACCATACGAACAACTGGCAAATACCAAACAAACTAATAGTAGTAACCCAAAAGGCAGAGAGGTCTGCCACAATTATTATTATTATTATTATTTATAAACCTCATATTTATTTATAAAGATTCTAAATTTAGCATCCAGACATCACAGTGGTATATCGTTTGTGCATTGTTCTCTTAATAGCTCATGCTATGTTATCTATTCAGATCACAAAGGAGCAAAAAAATAGTAGAGGATACAAAATTGAATGCTATATAATGTATATGAATATGTGCTGTATATCTAAATTTGTTTATCTAAATTATAACTTTGCATTAGCATATTAGAGCATGTGTGATGATCTATATTCTGGCCATTTATAGCAGATGGTTTAGAAATTTAAGTGTGGTAATGGCTTAATAGCTACTAGATAAAACTGTAAATAACAACAACAAAAATATACATTGAAAAGCTAATAAAAGCACTTTGCTTACTGGCATTTTATTCGGGGAAATCCCATGCCCCAGATGTCCCATGCCACAGATAGAGTGTAGAATGTTACCTCTACCTGTGCTGATAGTACTCTACATGGAATCCTCGGTAGTTATCTACACTTAACCTTTGCTCTGTTTGCTTTTCAATTATTACAATCAGAGAATAATTTTTTGGATGCATGGCATTTGTATTACAGACACAGTATTTACACAATGAAATTAAAAATATTTTACACTTTTTATCTAAATCATTCCACAACCCGCTAAAAATGCAAGCTTGAAATTAATTAAACAACATAGGTTATTTATTAAAAGAATCAGCAACAATGCAAATGACCACTCCACAACCCCAAATCTTTATCTGTGTAGAGTATCATAGTTTAACCCCAGTTTATAAAAGTAGTGAATTCTATGAGAAATTAGCACTTTTTATAAATTAACTAGGGAACACCCCCCTGGCTGTCAATCAAACAGCCAGGGAGGATTCCTTCCTACTTCAGTTAGCTCCCCTGGCTGTAGTCTCTTCTTGGAAAACACAGAAGGAACAAAACTTAGTGTTTAGGTGATGTACCCACCACTTAAAACAACCAAGTGGGAGTGCAGCGCTATGAAATTGAATCAGAGACTTACCCCTCAACAAATACAGGGGGGTCAAGTGGTATATTTAAAGCAGAAAAAGAAGAGAAAACACTAATAGCGTAACTCTGTTATAAAGTGGAATGGTATAATAGATATAAAATCCAAACTCACATGTTTTAGAACCTTTTCAAATATAGGCTCTAAACATCACACTAGTGTGCACTTCCCAGATGGCAAACAGACCTTTAAACTCTCTGATTTTTCAAAGGGGTTTCCAGATTATGGTGTCCACAACCGAGAAAAGATTAATAGTAGCAGGATCTGGGTGTATTATTTTACATACACATGAATAATGAAGACTGCAAATCTTTGGACAAAATTGCTCACCTTTTTCAGAGTCCGTTACCTGGCACTGAGTGTATAAGGATTGCATCAACTTTTGGGGTGATGCTGTCCCTTTAAATTCAGAAACTACAGGAAATGACAAAGTATCTGGATAGAGGTATATACTCCAAAAAGGTACTAGCTATTAAACAATAATTACTGGTAACAGAGTCCTGTATCCCTGGACAAGAAGCGTTTCATCTTCCGTGGGCTTTCTCAGTCTACATGTACTTCAATTTCTTCCCAGTTCCATTTTAAGTGTTCACGGGGTCTGCCCTTTCTATTTGTTCCATCCAATAATTTCGTCCATATGGTATTCGACGTGGTAATCACCTGATGTTAGTCTGGTAACGAGGCGTTTTTCCATTTTGTCCGACACATCACTTCCGGTATTTTTCAACTACATAGACCATGATACTCTATGCTATGAATGCCATAACGTCATATCCTCGTTGCATATATTCCTACAGCAACCATCAGGCTTTGCAGGATATTGAGGATTCTTTATCATCTTTTGTAACCAATCATTGTCATCTTTTGTAACCAATTCAGTGTTATCTCCATAGATTTGGAAAAAAATCTTCTTGCTTCCTTCTACATTGCAGATGGAGAATGAAGACCTGCACCAAAACTGCACATCTAAAGCTCATCTGTCATAGTGGTGCCATGTTCTTTCTTCAGCTGCTGCGTGCACAGAGGTCTATGTGCAATCCCATGAGGCCTCAGGATCCTCCATAGACCAATTAAAGCAAAACACAAAAGTGTGGCTGTGAGAATTGACAAATGTTAATTGTGGAAGGTCCTCTTTTGCCAACTTTTGTCAACCAGGTCTTTGATTATAAGACAAAGTGATCCCTACTTTATCTTATGATATCCTTTGATTGCACTGGAATTCCGACATAATCAACATCAGCATTTGAGTATGAAATGCTCATTAAGTGACAGGAGACGATAGGCCCACTTTAACAGTAAATTACTATGTTGTACTATGTGTTATTGCTTTTAATTATTGCATTTTTGTTAATTATCTACATTTGAAGTGGCTATCTCTGTGTTTTGAATTTTAGCAAAAATATGCACAGATAACATGTCCATGTATGTATGCTCTTTAAAGTTTGATTGTGTCACGGTAGTATACCCCAACACGCAAGAATAGTCCAACGAGAGACAAGATAACAAGATACATCTTACCGGGCCTTAGAATGGCCGGACTCGACGTGGACAGGAAAAGACAGAGTCAAGAATGAGCCGAGGTCAAGGGTACAGAGAGACAGCATAAACAAGAACTAGCCAAGGACTGGTACACAGGAGTCAGGAAACCAGCGAACAAGACAAAGCAGGGCTAAAGAGAAAATTGGAGTCAGGTGCAAAGCCAAGGTCAAGCACGAAAAAAACACTACTACACAAAACAAGCACTGAAGGGAACTGAATCAGAAACCACGATATGGCAGGGAGCTAAGGGAAAGGTGAGTATAAATATCTATTAGTTTAATTTGATTGGCCCTTGTCATATCCACACCCCCAAAACGTGAGTGTATGGGGAATCAGTGGCGGATCCAGGGGGGGGGCAACGGGGCAATTGCCCCCCCCGAGAAATCCGCCGGTCTCCCTCCCCTGCCTGCACATGCAGGTGCTAGCCCTGCAATGTGCCTGCGGACCGGAGGGAGATCAGAGCTCTCCCTCCCCGGTCCGCAGGCACTGTGCTGACAGCCGGCAGGGGAGGGAGATGGAGGACCCGGAGCTCAGTCTGCAGCTCCTCCGGGTCCTCCTCTCGCGAGATTTGGAGCGTTGCCACGGTTACCACGGCAACGCTCCAAATCTCGCGAGAGTGAACTCTAGCCCGGGAGTGCGGGCTAGAGTTCACTCTCAGCACTGGGACCACCAATGAATCACCACTGGGACCACCAGGGAACGAAATCTGTCCCCCCTCCTCCCCAGTAAAGGTAAGAAGGGAGGGGGGACATAGAATATTTATTTATTTTAATTAAATTAAAAAATATTATATAATAAAAAAAAAACCCACCATACCCTGATCACACACACATACATTGCCCCCTATACTGCCCCCCATACACACAAACTGCCCCCCCATTCACACACACTGCCCCCCCATTCACACAAACTGCCCCTCATACACACAAACTGCCCCCCATACACACAAACTGCCCCCCATACACACACATACTGCCCCCATACACACATACTGCCCCCCATACACACACACTGCCCCCACACACACACGCCCCCCATACTCAAACACTGCCCCCCATACACACACTGCCCCCTATCCACACACACACACACACACACTGCCCCCATACACACACACACTGCCCCAACATACACACAACCGCCCCCATACACACACACTGCCCCTATACACACAACTGCCCGCCATACACACAAACTGCCCCCCATACACACACTGCCCCCACATACACACACTGCTCCCCTATACACACATACTGCCCTCCATACACACACACTGCAATACTCACACACACTGCAACTGTTACACACATACACTGCATCCCTGACATACACTGCCGCCCTCACTCACACACTACAACCTTCACACACACACACACACACTGAACCCCTTACACATTGCACCACTCACACACACCACTGCTCCTATACCTTACTACAGCCCCATTTCCCAGCAGATTTCAGGTAAGTTGTCAAACTGTTCTTAAACGGTTTGACTACTTACTGTGGGAGGGGGTCCCGGCACTATTGACACCATAACCACTACACTGAGCTGTAGTGGTTATTGTGTCTGGATTATTTCTTTAAATAATCTACAAGTGCCCCTCCCGAGATCAGGCTCTGGATCCGCCACTGTGGGGAATGTGGAATGACATGGGTCAATGGGAGACCTTTTTTATTTTTGGCTCCCACTGTCCCTTTAAAAGCGCGCCCGATACACGCGGCGCACTCCCAGTGCCAGACGAGTCACGTGGCCGCTTCTCGCGATCAATGCACGCCTTCCTGTTCTCCCCGTCGGACGAGCCTCGCGCGGCTCGTGCAGTTGCAGGACCGTGCGCGGCGGGGAAAGAGGACCTCGCCCGGCCCCTAGAGAGGGTAAGTACCGCTACAGATTGCAATTTCAATGTTCTTGCTGTATTGCATGGATTACGCAAATTAGGTTTTTTGTTATAATTGAATGCAGAATGATTTTCTTTGGAAATGTGTTGCATGTGGTTTTCAAGTAATGTGAAACTATTTTTTTTAGATAGTGTGGCAAACTGCTCAAGAAATATATAGATGTTTTCCATGTACTTTACAAGTGTGAAACAGTACGCATATTTACACGAATACCTGATCATAACTGCTGTAACTCAGACCTATTGCTAAACTGTGACACTGACATCTCGGACATACAGCCAGGCAACAAGGGACAAAATCTTGGCCAAGATTATTTAAATATGCCCCAGGAGGATGAAGGGAACGAGAATGACATTTCTAAGCTTTTTCTCCCCGTTAACATTTCCTGCACCTCTAAATGCTGTGTGGAGAGGCCATAAAAACTTCTGATCCACCCATTTGTGTTTAAAGGCTGACAGCAAGAAACATCCATAACCGTGACTGTAGCCCATGGAGTAGCACAGTTAAGGGGAAATGGCCTTGACATTGCTAGAAGACATGCATTTAAGGGGTGTAGTGTGAGGAATTGGGGGTGGGGTTTGAGCTATCGGAGTATATATAGTGGCCCTTTTAGATCATGGGCCATCTTAATTTAATCGTCACTTACCTGTTTTTGTCCCACCCACCCTCCCTCCCTTTTTGTTTTAGCTACCGTTTGGTCACAGAGGCGGGGGCTGGATAGAGAAGTTGGGATATAGGTTGTTTGTCCAGATGTAAGTTAGTTTAGTTCGCTAAGAACAGTTAGGTTTGGAAGGGTATTGGTAGGTTCGAGCTCGTTGGTAGCTCTGAACCTGGTGTGTGTAGAGTGTATCTTGGTATACCCCTACATTGTGAAATCTGGAAAATCATGCCCTTGGTGGCAATGGTTTATGTTTTACATGTTAATTATATGCTATAATGTGTTATCATTTATTGTGATGTGGGTCATTGTCTGGGGTATAATTGTTAAGGGAGTTGGGGTTGATATGTAATGTTTAAGTATGTTGACAATGACCTTAAAATGTTTTATATTGTTAAAGCTGTGATAGTTTTCACAAAAATAAGGTGTCTGAGTATCCTGACTATCTGACTATGCATATAATAGCACAGTGACCATTTTGAAAAGTGCATGTGCAGATGAAGGACATGGATCAACTCGACCTGCAGTATTTAATACCATAGAGGCAAACAAAACTTAAATTGCACAGAAATGTCATGCTTGATTTATTCATGAACTTAAGTACGGCCTAGTGACTTATACACAGTGTGTAACAGAGAAACCACAGAGCTCTAAATTTATTCAGTGCTCTGCCATTTAGGAGTTAAATCACTTTGTTTATGCAGCCCTAGCCACACCTTCCCTGGCTGTGTTTTCCACAGCCTCCATGAAAAATGTGTTTCATTTTTACAGCGCAATGTGTTTACTTTTGACGTTCTTATCTTCTGATCTGTTCATTGAACTTTAGTCACACACAGTAGGATTTAGCAGATTGCAGATTATTATCAGAGTGAAAGATAAGAAATTGTAAATTAAATATATTGTGCAATAAGGGAAGCTAAAGATTTTAGGCTCATTTTCAGAAAAGGGAGGTTGTGTTAGTCACAGCCAGGTGATGTAAGGCTAGGGATGCATAAAATGCGATTTAACCACTAAATGGTAAAATACTTAATAGTAAGACTGCAGGAGCATGATCTATATACCAAAAGAGCTTCATTGAGCTAAAGGTATGTTGGTGCAGGACATGTTGGCACTTTATACGTGTCAGCAATATTAATAATTGTTTTTCTGTAGTGATTATGGTGCTGAAGTGCCCTAGTGCCCTACCATGGTAAGTAGTCAAATCGCATGCAGTTTGACAACTTACCTGTCAGCAGAGCACACTGAGCTAATGAGAGCCACTTGTCACCACCAGGCTAGCTCAGTGCTGCAGAGGAGGAGGTGATCAGCACCCAGTGGACCTCAAGTGAGTTGTTAAACTATTTGTGAATGGTTTGACTACTTACACTGGGAGGGTAACAAGACACTTCTGACACCATAACCACTACATTAAGCTTTGTTGAAGTGGGCTGTAGTGGTTATTGTGCTTGCTGCGTTCCCTTAATAATTAAGGGCACATAATTCCTCATGTACACTTAAAGCCAATTTGCTCTTATGAGTCTGAACGTAACAACTAATGGCCCCATGCCAAACTCAAATTTGTAGTCATCATCCAGCCCAATATGTTAATGGTGGGATCTCTCTGTAATTGTACAAGTAATTTCAATATTCATTTTTGACCAGAGCATGTGGCCAAACATATAAAAATCTAATCATAGCTTGTTTGTACTTGGCTAGTATCTTTTATATTTTGTTTATGTTTAAAGTACCCTACTCTTATTCACACACTATCATGCCTTACTGATCAAGGTGTGATGCTGTCAGCTGTTAGGTTTGGGGTGCACTTGTGCCATATTTCTCTCTTGTGATTTTGGAAAACTGTTAAAAATTTGTCACAAACAAATATAAATTAAAGGGATACTATAGTGACCAAAACAACTTTAGCTTAATTAAGCAATTTTAGTGTATAGATCATTCTCACTGCTCAGTTCTCTGTCATTTAGGAGTTAAATCACTTTTGTTTCTCTTTGTGCAACTCAAGCCACACATACCTGGCTGTGACTCACACACAGCCAACATTAAAAACAAAATTTCATTTTCAATCAGATGTTAACTTATTTTAAATGCGTTTTACCTCCTGCTCTGTAAATTGAACTTTAATCACACACAGAAGGCTCCTGCAAGGTCTAGAAAGCTAGTAACCGTGCAGGAAATAAGCAATTGTAAATTAAACAGACTGTGCAGTAAAGTAAATATAACCATTATATCTCAATTTACAGGAAATGTGTAGGAAGGGTGTGTAAGTCACATGTAAGGAGGTGTGACTAGGGCTGCATAAACAAAGTGGTTTAACTCCTACATGGCAGTGAGACTACACAGGTATGATCAATACACCAGAACTGCTTCATTACGCTAACATTGTTTTGGTGACTATAGCGTCCTTTTAATTAGAGAAATATGAAAAAATTAAGTAAGGTATAAACATGGGTCATGAAATAATAATAACAACCATCTGAACTAAACTAATACAATACAAGACAACTGATAGTGATACAGCAACAAACTGAACACTCATTTTACTTGTCCCCATGCCATGTTCTATCTGTAAGAGTCCAGACATCAAAGGGCTTTACCTGGCCCCCATCTGGTTTTG